CAGAGACCTCAACAACCATACCAACAACCACAACAACAACAATTCGGACAACAGCCACAACAGCAACAATACCAGAACCAAAACTTTAACCAACAACCACAACAACCGCAACAGTCACAACTCCCAGTTGCTCCACAAGTCCAACAGACACAACAACCACAACAAGCACTTCCACAAACATCCGCTTCGGTTGATTCTCGACCAGTGAACTTTGAGAAATACGTTGATCCAGGAAAGGGAACTCCACTCGCTCCACCACCACAGGTAAGATTTGGTTGCGGGTAAATTTTGGTTATTACACTAGAGAAATTTAGTTTTTATCCTGGGAAGGTTTAAATACTGACCAATTTTAGTCCTTACAATTAGACTAACCCGGTAGCTTCTAACCCCATCCTATTTCAGGCTCAATGCCCACGTCAACCAGGATGGCAACCATGTATCACCAAGGACACTGCCAATGATCGTTTCCGTAACTGTTGCTCTCGTCTCGGAGAAGGGTGTGCTCCACTTTGTAACTACGATGCCACGCTGGCTACTGTAAGTATTTCTCCTAAAGACTCATCTAACCAAATTATTTAGATGCAACTTGCTGTTCTCACCGGCCGCTGCCCACTCAGCAAGGTCGGAGATGTCATGATCTGCGCTTCCGGCTACCAAGATGCTTCCCAATGTTGTGAAGCTTACGGAGTCTTCGAACCAGGATACGAGCACTGCCGACCATACTGTAACCCATCGGCTGGCCTTCCAGAAGGAGGACTTCTCACCGAGAAATACAAGTGTCTCGTCAAATTGTCACACATTCAACAATGCTTCTTCGTTTCGCAGAAGCCATAAATAACGGGTCAACGCAGTTCGTAATGTTACATAATAATGTTTTTTCTTGTTATTATTTTTGTCTCCACACCCAATTTCTCACTTTTCTCTCTACTTTCCCTAATTTGTGCAATAGGTTTGAACAATGTGGCACAGTGCCATCTGAATAAATGATTCTAATGATAAAAAACTCACATGTGCAAAATTCCAACGGTGTTTAGAATATTCAATCCTTGCGTTGTCATAGTGAAAGTACCAATAATGGCAAAATGGAGCATAGACTGAGTGTAAGCGAGATTGCGGGGAGCAAAGTATGCGTTGGGAGTCGATCTCTGGAAGATGAAATTTGATTGCAAAAAGAAAACCAGTGAAAAAAACGAACCTCTTCCAGAACTGATCTAAAGTTGGAAACATATTTCTGTAGTATGGGAATGTAGTCTTGACTGATGCTTTCGTTGTTTGGGAAAACTCGTAGAAGAAGTTTGATGATACTTTTGGCAACGATGACTTGTTGGCGATCCAAATGTCGTTTGTTCTTTTCTTGTTCAGAGGGATGAAGGAATTGGAACATCTGAAATAGTTGGATATAGAGAACATTGAGATTTAACCACTCACATTTCCAATATGATCTTCGATAGTGTTGGACGAGAACTCTTTGACCAATTTCTCGTATCCATCCTTTTCGATATTCTCCACATAATATTCCACATAGTTCCAATCAAACGCTCCATTCGAATCTACAAAGAACTTTTTCGCATTCTCCTCTTCATCATCAAAATTGTCTCGGAGTCTTGGACTTGAATAATCATAATCATCTGAATCATCCATCATCATCAACGCATTCTTATCGTATCTTCCACGTAGCACAGTTTCACTAAACTCTCCTGGACACTCATATTCATAGAGATCCGGAGATATATTCTTTTTGAAACTTGAGCCAACACGAAATGAGCTGTCGCTTTTCGACTTTTTAATTGGAGCCTGGACGAGGACTGGATCAGACATGTGTGGAGCGAAAAGCATCAAATCGGATTCTTTGAGTACTGTAGAAGAAATAGAAGCAGAACGAATCCAGGATTGATTCAACTTATCAAAACGGTTCAAGACAAGTTCAGCGTTTCTGTAATGAAGTGTTGAGCTGTTTCTCAGAATCTGCAAACCTACGTGGCATGAGGAAAAGTGTACTGCTCGATTGCATTGATATCAAATGTACCGTTTATCGCAGAAACCGCCCGACTTTGGCTCAAGCTTTCACAAGCCGATTGGACCAAAGTTGGCATTGAAAGCACTGGTGCACGATATCCAGCTGGCACATGAGAAGGGGCTTGGCGAAGCATGTCAGCCATCAGAAGAGTGGCTTTGAGACCACTGGAAGAGTCAGGCATGGCAAGGATAAGACGGGCAAGGGAAAGTGGTAGTTGGGCGTTGATAAGGACAAATTGGGAGAGGACACGGAAGGCGGCAAGAAGGTCGATGGTTGGCTTGTGGCGTTCGACGTCGTTCTTTAGACGAGCATCATTTTGAGCAATCACAAAATCATGTTTCAGACCGCTTTTGTATTTGTCCGGGAGATGCATTGATTCTGGAAAGGTTCACATTAGGGTAGCTGTTCAAAAAAGATATCAGTAGAGCTTCTCGTAGTGATACAGAACCGCTTCAGAACTCACTATAAAACGCCAAAGCTTCTTCCCATGACTCAAACGTCTTGCTGGCATACGGTACATCCACAAATTCACAACACAAATCAACTATAGCATCTCTGATCCTGACCAAGTTGTCATTTGCAACAGTTCCAAGACCTAAGTAATCCAAAAGTCGGAATGGAGAACTCGGCAGGATATTGGAGTTAGGACCAACGGCAGCACATGCAAACAGGCCTGGCCATGAACGGATAATGCAGAGGAAGGAGCATTTGAAATTCTCCAGAAAGTCGTTCATGTGAAAACTCTCATTTCTGAATTTCTTTTTCTATATTTAGGTTAAACCAACCATATCACTTACCCTGCATCATTAGTCATCATACTTCCTCGTTTCTGGAACATTCCAAATTCCACTAAAGGTGCAAAGATCTGCTCCATAACCAAATCCAAATGAGCTTTGATTCTGATTGTTGGAGAGTCCAACCAAGAAATTAGAACATGAGAAGCAAGTAGAACAATTCTTTTGCTCATACAAGAAACACCGGTTAGAACTTTGACCAGCCAATCCGTTCCAGCCATTTCCAGAACTAGAGAGGGTTCGGTTAAACTAAATTCTAGAAATAAACCGACACAAGGAAGGGACAATCTGGAAAAAAAAAATTGAGAAACAGGAAAAATTACGTTACCTACTTGTCAGTTCTTTTCCCCTCAAAAGCCGAAAGAGCAATTGAAATAATAGGTTGCATTATAGACTTTGGGAATGCATACTTTCTGGAACAAAATTGAGAATTTTTTATCTTAATAATATCCACTCACTTTCCGTTTTTCTGAGCTGCAGAACTGTCAATCAACTTTTTCAAATTGGACTTCTCATAAATTTTTAGCATCCAAATGATCAATTTGAATGCCTCAATTCTTTCCACCTGATTTTCGGATGACAGATCCACTGCTCGAACTATGTAAATATCCACATGGGTTGTCAGAATCACCACCAGATTCCTCTCATTCATTGTGCATTTTCTGACAATATGGAAACACATTGCACGGATACATGGATGATCGTCACGGAGGAATTTTAGAATTCTGAAAATCGAAACTTGTTGAAACTTTTCGAAAGAAAAACTACTTACAATTTACAAAGATCCTCAAAAAACTCATTGTCTGTCAGTGCCTCTATTTTTGTTTCTCGGACCATTTTGTACATGTCATTCAGAAATTTAGCGTTCAGACCATATGACAATTCTTCGTCGTCTTTGTGATGTTCTGCTCCTGACATCAATTTTTTGAGATCATCAAGATCTCGAAATCGTTCTAGTCGAGCATCAGCTCTATCACTGTTCTCACTCTCCTTTTCTGAAAAAGGAATTTGAAAACTATTTTTTCTTTATTTGGGACGACATCTTTTGCTGACTAGACAATATGAATACACACTAGGGTATACTGGTTTCAGACTGGCTATTGATTTTCAAAAAGCTAACACAAGACAGTTATCAACTACAGAAGTGAAACTCTGTTGTAAATTCTTTTTTTTTCCTGAAACATCCCAAATGTATAAACGTTCTCCTACTTGTTTTAAACTAATAAAAAAGGTTTTTTTGTTGTTCTATATATGGATACCGTAAAAACTAGTAAGAGAAGTGCCCCCTAACTTTCACCTTTGAGCCAATTTTTCTTGGTTCCTGTCAATAATATAAAAAAAGATGTCAACTGATAAATTGTTGATCATGATATTAGGAGTGTTTTGTAGTTGGACACATGTGGGAAATTTTTCGTAGATGGTAAGAAAAATTAGCACAAAATTGACAGTGTGGGGTTCTTCTGTTACAGAGTTTACAACATTTTAGATACTACTGTAATTAGTGTTTACTATATTTCTTGAACATTAAAATTGAACGATTTGATTTGAACGATTTAATAAAAAACTTTTCAGAACTGAGGCAATACACAGAACTCACTTTCTCGCGCTCGATTCTTGATACTTTCTCTGATTTCCTGTACAATTTGTGCATTGTTACCTTTCCTCGGATACGCTTTCCGTCGATGGTTGTCCATTTATTTTCTGTCTGGCAGAAAGAGAAAAATAGGTAGACTAATGGAGAAGAAATGGAGAGTTGATGTACTGATAAGGGAGGTAAAGGAGGACAAGGGCAAGAAGTGAAAGGAAGAATCGAGACAAGGAAGGAGGTTTGAATGGTTTTTAGAAAAAATAAGTTGGTTTTGTTAAGTTGATGAAGTCCGAATACAAATCAATAAAAATTTATGAATTTGAAACAAAGTAGATACTGTAAAATGAGATGAAGAAGAACATTTTGAATATTCAGATAGCAATTAGTTATTTTTTTTTGAAAATTTTATACTTTTTAAAATTAATCAAATGCTATCTTTTCAACATCCCATGAACTATGTCCATGTTAATTCAACATCCCATGAACTATATCCATGTTTTTTATCGATTCTGGTGGTACTGTAGTTTCGATAACTCATTTAGAAGAACTCTTTCCCGATTAGTTTTCTTGGCAAATTATGAACCTTCGCCCTTATTCATTGCGCATTAACATATGTGACCCAATTTTCCAAAAAATCAATGTGCACTCCTTTTTGTTGATAGAGGAATTATTAGTTTAAATTGGTCAATTTGAAGAAAGGGTAGATCTAGTTCAAAATTTAATGCCATTGAAAAAAGAAAATATGAAAAAAGGTGTTTAAAAATCGCTCTACACGATGGTGTTTGTCAGATCTACGGAAAACGTCTTCTTCATGGAGAAATAATTTCTTGAATTCTGTGTTGCAAACTCGTAAACATGGCCGAGCTCAGTGGAAGAGGCGCGCAACCTCGGCCACCCTCCGTGTAGTCCTCGTGGACTGTCCCTCGGTATGGCATCATTTTTAGGCTTTTTTCGTTTTTCAGGCCAAAATCTACAATCTTTTCTGTAATTTTAATATGAAAAAATTCTTGAGACAGTTCTCTAACATTATTTCAAGTTACCACTCGCAAAAGTTCCGATGAATCTTAATTTTTGATTTTTGAGGTAATACACGATGAGTCCTCTTGGGAGGTTCTCTGCAGTAGCTCAAAGCCGACGACAGGTAAATTCAACGCATTCCTGATGATAAAACCAAAAAACCCATTGTTTTCCTTTCAGTTAAACAATGTCTTCCGTCGATTCACATCGAATGAAGCACCATCAGTCATTGTTCCAGGCGTGCGGCCTATTGAGAGAATTAGAAATATTGGTACGCAGTTTTTACCGATAAATAAAAAGTTAACATAATGCTTCTAGGTATCTCTGCTCATATCGATTCTGGAAAAACAACAGTAACGGAGAGAATCTTGTACTACGCGGGTAGAATCGACTCGATGCACGAGGTTCGAGGAAAGGATGACGTCGGAGCGACAATGGACTTTATGGAGTTGGAAAGACAACGAGGAATCACAATTCAATCGGCAGCTACTTATGTTGATTGGCACGGAACTAATATCAATATCATCGATACTCCAGGACACGTGGATTTCACAGTAGAAGTAGAAAGAGCGCTTCGAGTTCTCGACGGAGCTGTCTTGGTTCTTTGCGGTGTCGGAGGTGTTCAATCACAAACATTCACAGTCAACAGACAACTGGCACGTTATAATGTCCCATTCATCTGCTTTGTTAACAAAATGGACAGAAACGGAGCATCCCCACTGAAAGCACTTGATGGACTCAGAAATAAGTTGAATCATAATGCAGCGCTTGTTCATTTGCCTATCGGAAAAGATTCGAATTTCAATGGAATCGTGGATTTAGTTGAGGGACATGCATTGTATTACGAGGGAGAAGGTGGATTGATTGTAAGAAAAGATGAGATCCCGAAAGATTTGAGAGTGGAGGCTGAAGATAGAAGACAAGAACTAATTGAGCATATCGCAAATGTTGACGAAACTCTTGGAGAGATGTTCTTGAACGATCAGAAGCCAGATGTCAAGCAGATTCATGAAGCAATCAGACGAACTGTTGTCAAAGTAGGGTGAACCATTCGGAACTAGCTAACAGAAAATCATTTTCAGCGCCAATTCGTGCCTGTTCTTTCCGGATCCGCTCTGAAAAATAAGGGAGTTCAAACCATGATCGATTCAGTTGTAAAATACCTTCCTGATCCATCAGAAGTTGTGAACAGAGCGACAGTTAAAACTGAAACTGGCGAGGAGAAAAGAATCATTCTCTCACCAGAACGCAACAACGACAAACCGTTCGTCGGACTTGCTTTCAAACTTGAAGCCGGAAAATACGGACAATTGACATACTTCCGTGTTTATCAAGGACAATTGAGCAAAGGAGACACTGTTTATGCATCGAGAGACGGTAGAAAAGTCAGAGTTCAACGATTGGTTCGAATGCATGCTGCCGATATGGAGGAGATCACAACAGCCTATGCTGGAGACATTTGTGCCACTTTTGGACTTGATTGTCATTCAGGAGAGACATTTTCAACTGATCAGAACCTTGCACCACATTGTGTAAGTCAAAAAAGGATTTATATATAAGTGTTCGAAATTTTTCAGGAGTCCATGCACATTCCAGAGCCTGTTATCTCGATGGCAATCAAACCAGTCAACCGCAAAGATGCTGATAATTTCATCAAAGCTTTGACACGTTTCACAAAAGAAGATCCAACATTCAGAAGAGAATACAATCAAGAAGCCAAAGAGACCATTGTTTCCGGAATGGGAGAGCTACATTTGGAGATTTATGCACAAAGAATGAAGAGTGAATACAATTGTCCAGTGGAACTTGGAAAACCTTCTGTTGCTTACAGAGAATGCTTGGGAGCTCCTTACAAGTTAGTATTATTAATATGTTGAATTAATGTTCACTTTCTCATTGTCAGATTCCATTTCCGCCACAAGAAACAAACTGGAGGACAGGGACAGTTTGGAGAGATCGAAGGAGTCATTGACCCACTGCCTGCTGACCGTAATACAGTCGTGGAATTCTCTGATGAAACATTCGGAAACAATATTCCAAAGAATCTGTTCCCAGCTCTCAAGAAGGGTCTTGACGCGATTGTCGCTGAAGGACCACTCATCAAATCTAGAATCGCTGGAATCCACGTTCGCATTCAAGATGGAGCCACACACGCTGTCGATTCTACTGAAATCGCTATGATCAACACAATGCAAAACATGATGCGCGAGTCATTCGAAAAGGCTAGCTGGTTGCTTCTCGAGCCCATTATGAAGGTTGAAGTGACGACACCTGCAGAGTTCCAAGGAAATGTTGTGACATCGTTAACTCAAAGAAACGCTCTTATCACAACAACAGATTCCACAGAAGGATATGCGACAGTGGTTTGTGAAGCGCACTTTCCGATATGTTCGGATACACATCAGAGCTACGATCATTGACAGAAGGAAAAGGAGAATTCAGTATGGAATATTCGAGATATGCACCGACATCGTTAGAAGCACAAGATAGAGTACAAGCTGAGTGGAGACAGTTGCACGGAATCGCAGATCCAAATGAGAAAGGAAAGAAGAAGAAGAAGTAGATCATTGTTTTAGGTTTTTTTTCTGATTTTACATTTTCTTTTTTTCTCTGTAGATTAGGTTAATTTTTGTTTTTTGTTATTTTCAATTGAAGAATTATTGTTGAAGACTTTTGATGATTAATAGAGAAGCTTTATTGAAAAAATGTGAGAAAAATGAGGAATGGTAACCGTTTATTTGAACATTTTCACTCAAAGATCATTACACTGTGTTTAGGATTTCTCATATTTGACACGTTCCACAGCCACCCAAAACTTCTTATTGTCCTCGGAACGGAATCCAATCGGTCCAAGCTCACAATCGCCACACATCAGCACCTTCTTCTTGTCAATTGTCTGCCATCCGACAGTATCAAATACCATATCGCTCTCGGTGTACCACCACCAACTGATCTTCTCGAACGACGACGCTCCTTTGCCCTGATGAGTCATCACACGCAGTTGATACGGCTGGTTGTCAACGGTCATCACAACGTCTTCGGGGAAAATGACGGATTTGCAGCGGCGACAGACGATTTTGTGCAGGTTACGGTCGTCCTCATTGATCAAATCGTCTTTGTTAACCTTCTCACATTTACCATTAACCGGAGTGTTCGCTGGCTGCGGTTTGATCGCGAATAGTTGAAGTTTCAGGGGTACTTGCATCTGAAAGTTGGGAATGGGAAAAGGTCGCAAGGAATGGGAGAACTACCGCTTGTGGAAAGAACCATGAAAATTAAAATGCCTTCCATGGAAGCATACGTTTTGTAAACACAAAAAACACACATCAGGACGTGGATCATAGAACAATGACATCGTTTATTCGAAAATTTAAAGGAGCATGATAATCATGAGAAAGACAAAAAATTAATCATCGAGTAATAAATTCACTTCTTCTTCTGCTTGTGTCTAACAGTTGCTTTTGCAGCAGCAGTTCTGAAAAAATAGAAAATTAGAATTTAATAGGAACTACAAACTTCGGGGTCCTCGTTCTTCTTCTTTTTGTTGGCAATTCATTTTCCTCCCTCTCGTTCTTATCGTCCTCTTCTTCTAATCGCTCCCTTTTAATCAAAAGCCGTGTTGGTCTCTTGACCGGTTCTGGAATGGATGGCGCCGGGAGCTCGACAATCAGTGGCGTTGATACCTCAGAAGGCGCTGGTGCTGAAGGAACCGAAGCCGTCGGTGTAGAGGCTCCACTGATTGCTTTTGCAAACGTCTCCATCATTTCTTTTTGGAATGCTTGATTCGCTTCTTGCTCTTTCAGAAGCATCTTCGTGACATCAGTGAGCATGTTGTTTGCTTCCACCTGCCGCCTTGCCATCTCGTCGCGGAAGGCTTTGTTTTCTTGAGCTTGGAAAGTTAAGATTCGACAGATCTGAAAAGTTTTTGAATGTGGCCAGGGTAGCATTGAATTCGCGATGGTTCTGTTCTATGTCGGAGTCACTACTCACGGTATTATCCATTTGAGACGTTGCCGCTCTAAGAGATGAGGTCAGCAATAACATTGAACCTTGAGGAATGGGTCCGGCTGGTGGTGGTGGAGTCGGTTGGTTCTAAAGAAGATTGAATAGTTGGGCTTACTAGAAAAGTGTTGTCTAAACTTACATGAAGAGCGACAGCTGAAAATCGCGGTGGTGGTGGAATAGGCAGAATTGGTCGGGGACCTGAACCGTTCCAGAATGGTGGTGGAGGAGGATGATTTGGAAGCTGCTGAAATTTTCCTGATGTCTCATAGAATTTCAAAGACAATGAATACATAGATATTGCCACGAGGCGGTGGAGGTGGAGGACCCATGGGAGGCGGTGGAGGTGGAGGACCCATCGGAGGCGGTGGTGGTGGCTGGGAACGACCAGAACGACGACTTTGACAGCAGCCAGGAAAATTAGACATTCTGAAAATAAAACAGTTTGAAAAATCAGAAAAGTTGTAATTTAAAATTTTTTTCGTGGTTTTTTTTGTTAAAATCGAAGAATTTTTACATAAAAAAGGAAGAGGACATACTGATAAATGAGGTGACAGAATATGAAAAACAAATTTATTAACAAAAAATCCTCTTTTCTAATAGTAAAACGAAATGAATAGAGCTTCTATATTATGATGATTAGGTTGAGACACGTGGCAAGGTTCACGTAAAATCATGCGTTTTTGACAATAATTTTGATGATTGACGTGGAAAGTAGAGATGTCCGGATTCCGGAATGACTTTTTCGGAAAACGGACTTCGGAAAAAAAAATAAATCACGGTATACGGAATCCGAAATCCGGTCTTCTCTGGTGGAAAGTGAACAGAGATGGAGCTTTTTTTATAAGTTCTTTCAGAGGGGCGGATTCATTCAGAAAGAACCTGATGATGTTTATTTGCTAACAGATTTTCTGATATTACTATAAAACCTGTAATAGAATAGCTCCTAAGGTGTAAAGTTGGAGCTAATTTTTCTTGGCTCCTATGCAAGACATCAGAAATGTGTTAACTGATGAAATGTTAATGAGATAACGAAAAACAATGTATCCGTTGATTACTTTTTCATATCTTTGATAGGAACCGAGATACAGTACCGGTCTCTAAGATATACAACGACGTACTTTTCTCCAGGCTCCTGAAAATGGTATGAAGTTGAAAACGATGTTGTTGCATATCTTCCGGAATATTCTGAATTTATTCATGCTCATTACCCATTTCCAGGCATCCGTTCGTTTCTTCAACTTTCTGATTCATCAATTCATCCGCACACCTGTGATCACTCATTCCTTACTATACGACAGACACCATTCACAGCTGCAACTTGTTTTCCTGAAGTTTTACCTATATTTTTCTAGAAACGAAAAAAAAATTTCAAAAAAAAATCGCCGTCTCCTAAAAGTAATGTGTTTGTTTTTACTATTCCGCGCAGTGGAACACAACGAAAAATAGGAAAGAGAAAAAGAGACAGATCCAGCAACAGGTGGGTCAGATTGAAAAATGGACAAGAAGCGAAAACAGAACAGGGACAGTGTCGTCGAGTTTCGATTTCGATATTTCCTTTGTTTCAGAGAAAAGTTTTGCTTTTTCAAAAACTTCCTTTTTTAGTGTTCTTGACTATCTGAAAAACGAGAATTGTGGAGTTTTACGGTATCCAATGCTTTGAAAAGATGAGAAAACCGTTTTTTCGTTAATGATTCAAAAATTCAAAAATTTTGATTTTCTGAGAGCTCATAGGATTCTGTGGCTGATTCTAATTTTAAT